GAACGCTATCAGGGTTGCTGGTGTGTAATGTATATTGTACAGCACGCAGAAATTGCTGCTGAGTGGCCATTAGCACTTTACAAATTAGATTTCTCCTTATTCTTGTTCATCTTGTTCTTCTTGTTCTTGTGCTTCATGTTCTTCGTGTTTTTCTTGTTCTTGTTCCTGTTCTCGTTCATGTTCTTGCTCTTGGTTTTGCTCTTCTTTTTGTTCTGTTTTTGCTCTTGTTTTTGTTCTTGTTCTTGCTCTCGTTTTTGTTCTTGTTCTTGTTCTTTCCCTCACTCTTATTCTTGGTTTTTTTTTCTTCTGCCATTATTTAAAACGTTTTATTTTTCGCATGATCAAGTCCTTAATCATGTCCTCACTTTCCTACTTCTATCAGGTACGACTACAACAACGACTACAACAACCACCACCACGACAACCACAACAACGACAACCACCCCTACAACAACCATCGGGTACATCGAAATTCAGGGTAAGTGACGAAAGCCTGCTTCATTTTCTCTCACTCACTCACTCACTCACTCACTCACTCACTCACTCACTCACTCACTCACTCACCTTACGCTATTTTATCCCTCCTCTTGAGCCTCTAGGGTGTCGAGGGGAGAAAGAGCTTTCTGTCTCTAGCAAACTGCCTGGCTTGGTGGGATGTTGTATGTTTTCAGGGCATCCTTCACACCCTCCAGAACTCCCGTGGTCTTCCTCTTGCCTTGTGCTCTGATGTTCTTTTGCAGTACGCTTTACTGGCAAGTTGGTGAGGTGTCATACGTGTAAGATTCCCAAACCTTTCCCCTTCTCATTATCAGCAGTACTACTAGCTGGGTACCCGTTCGATGAACGGACTCAAAAGAATCGATTGTCAATTCACTGTGAAACAGTGCGCACTGCTTGTGAACAGAAGCCTCACTTGTTTACAATGGTGTCTTAGAAGACGGACTTTCCCAAGGTTAGATCTAAACGAAACTAATGAAAAACTGAAAATTAAAACTCAGTGACATCAGACTCCTTAATACAACTATGCATCCTTTAACTGATTCTGAACCACCATTAATTTTTCAGATTCGAAAGCTGTGTGGTTTGGATGTTTTAGGCAGCCAAAGTGACGAACTTTCACAAATAATATATAAGTAAATATATGTATAGATTACTAGTACATCTTGCAGCTGTTTTAATCCTATCCGTATGCCCTGGGGTAATTTTTGTACCCCCGGGGTTGTATTCTTCACATTTAAATATACTTCTAGTGGGAAGATCTCTTAGAAACGTTCAGCATTTCTCAAAAAACATTTTTGCAGACTGATATGTAACGCGTAAGGAATGGAATAACGAGTAGATTTCCTCTTTGGAAAGTGGTGGCACAGAGTTCCCCACGTCGTATGGATACGATAGTAAAACACGATGTACGGAGAGAGTTAACTCTTTAAGACCAGAGTTTTTTTCCATCGTGTCCCAGGGTTCTTTTTTTTACAGTCACCTAAACCTAGTGCACTATCTCTCATTATAACCCCAAAAGCTTGCCTCCAACTACTTCTAAAGAGCGGAAACAAAGGCTTAGTGATTACTAAAAACTTGATTTGTGAATAGTTCCGAAAAACAAGCAAAAACGAGCACTACATAAAACGAGACAGTTGCCACAAGTACCGAACGCTCCCATCGTCCAATGGGGTTCAAAGAGTATACGTCATCAGTTACTCACCCACTACGTGACCTTTCCCCAGACCCAGCCTGTCAGGACAAAGACCCCGACTGCATTGCGCTGCTCAAGATTCACTTCTGCGGAGACACGGCGCTTGTCTCCAGGTTGTGCCAGCGGTCATGTGACCTTTGCCCCAAAAGTAAGTCATACGACGTACCCTCTTTAACCATTCCAGCCCCCTTGCTTCAGGTCTGAAGCATATTGGGATTGGTAATGATAATAATAATAATAATAATAGTAATCTTATTATATTGGAGCTAAACCCGTTTGTGGGGTCAGTATACATTTTTGACACTGGTGCCCATAAAATCTACAAAAATACGATTCAGTTAAGAATTCTCACAAAGGGTCACGTGGACATATTTTTAACGTTCGGAAACTACCTTTTGATTTTCAGGATTGGTGGTTTTTCCTGCAAATTGTAGCTCTCAGATGTTTTCACTCTGCCCTTAGCCATTTCATATTTTACTGGGAACTACTTCCGTTTTGAAACGTGCCTCTTCATTTGTTTCCAGATCTAGTATCTCGATACTCAACTCAGTTTAGATGTGTGCTTCACAGTGTCGATGAATACTTCAGGACAAAGTTCATTGTATTGACCTTTTCTAGATATATTTGGTGTAGTCATTTCCCCAGCACGTTGAGTTCGTTTAGACCCACAACATTGGCGCTCATATGACCTTATGCAGTTGCGAGCGCCGTAAAACCCTCTACTATAAACAAAATAAAGACCCACAAAATGGTTATTTCGCTGTATGGACGTTTTCAAAATTTGGCGCGTAGAAAAGTTTGGACGGG